ATATAATGTTAGGAGCAGCAAAGAGCATCATGAGCTAGAAGAAGTGGAGTCCTACAGCACCACACTCTTCAATCTGTGTCTGCCCTTTGAGTTTCTTGCTCCTCCTACCATACAGTGGGGTGGGAACCAAGTCATAGCTATTGTTTTTTTCTTTTAGCCTAGGGATAAAGGAGCCTGGGACATGAACCACCCACATTTCCCTGAAATTAGCCATCACTGGTTTTCTATATCACCTTCCCAGGATAGGAGGGGAATGAAAAAAGCTTGCTGCTAGGCCTCCCCATGCAGAAGAGCAACAAAACAAATGGTTAGTGCCCTGTGAGTCTATCAGCCAGCAGCCTTTATCTGTGTCCCAGGTATCTTAATACTCAGCCACTGAGGCTTAGAGCTGTTGGGCTTGTTTTCATTGCAGAGGTTGCAGTTGAGATCTCTCCTAGTTTTTACTGTCTCTATTTCCCTGTGCTGCACAACAGCATCAACAGAATTGTGTCTTATCACCTTCCACGTAGAATGGGAGGCCACATGAATGAGGAGGATGGGAGGGAAAAAGAGGAGGAAACCTTAGGCAATTTTCAGGCCACTGGTCCAACTACTTTGTACCTTCATTGAAGCTTGCAAGAGTGAAAAGTACTAGTTTAGGCTGCAGTTTTTATAACACTGTATTCAGCAGCTCTGACCAGGTCTGGGCAAAACACTTGTTAGGAAAAAAAAACTGCCTGACTAGTCTGTGTAAACACTGAACAATGGCAGCAATGGTGTTAAGCTAGAAGTGTTGGAATCTGTGTTCACACAGCCGGGGGTAACAGGGAGGGTGAACTAAGGTGTGGCAGTCACTACACCTGTTCTACAGGCTGCACCTGTGCTCACCACTGCCTTTCATTCAAGCCAACATAAGAGCAAAAGCCCAACCTCATTCTGGGCCTGGGAGCAGTAAGGCATCTGGACAGGGCCAACTCTATCACTCCAAAGAACGCTCCTACCCCTGCCGCTGTGTAGATACTTCCCAGTTCTAGAAAGAAAATCAGTTTCCCAAGTCCTTTCCTTGCTCTACCACTCAACACTCACTTAAAAATAGAAAAGGAGGAAAGAATGGCTCTGAACACTACCAAGTCCTGTAAGTGGGGCAGGAGTCTTTTTTGAGCCCAGGCAGGTTCTATGTTGTCTTTTTCACTCCACTTCTACAAATGGCAGGCAGGCACCCTATACAACAAAGAGAAACCAAGTCACTTCAGGCAGCTTCCCCCATGTGGGAGGGCAAGCAACCTGCTCTTACTGTGTGGGGGAACAAATAGGGTGAAGGAAGGCATTTAGGATAAACGACACAAGGGATCCGATGGGCCTCTAGACAGAGGGTAGGGGTTGTCTGTTGAATGGAAAGTGTAAAAAGTTGCTTCTTTGTTGTCTGTGTGTGCATTTTGTCTCGTCTTTTATACCTCAAGCTTCTCAGGGTAGGGATTATTTTGTTCTATGCTTGTAAACTATACAGCACAGCAGGGCTTAGATGTTACTGGTTCATAAATTATAAAAAGCAGTAGTTTAAAAACTTTTTAAGATGACTTTAGAATGAAGTCATTCTTATTTACAAGTTGCGAATTGAAGTGGTTATTGGATTGATCCTACAACATAGCTTAAAAACCGCATCTGGCTTCTCTAGTAACTCAGGTTATTTGAGTGATAAAACTTGAAAGATCCCTTTACACATTGTTAGGCCAACATAGCCCTCACTTCAGTCTGAAACACTGTTTGCACTTCTAACTATAAAAGCCTAAAAGATAGTTCTAATCCATCTGCAAGGCCCAAATGAGAGCAAGGTGGGCATTTGGAAAAGGAAAAAAGAGAAGACAGTGCACAGAGGAGAAGGAAATGCATCTTTTAAACAAACAATATTATCTGTTAGTTTCTTAAGTCAGCATTAAATAAATAGCAGTAAAAGGTGGGGACTATCAAGACTACAGGCGTATGAGAGATGGGTCTATTTGGTCTGAAATTGGCAAATAACCAGGAGTGCCTGTCAGCACCTCATTAACAAACTACACAGAAAACCTTCTATCTAAGGAACTGGAGAGCAACTTAAAAACATTTAGGCTCAAATTCCTTCCACCATGGAGAATTGTACAGATAAACTGATAGCCACTAGGGTTAAGGGCCATGCAGAAACAAAACCAGAGAGAACTGACACCCTCGCACGCAATATTTAGAAAGACAAGACTCTCCAGAGCTAACGCCAATACTAATCCCTACCTGTTCTGGAAGGGATATTAAATATGCTTCAGGATTTAAAAACCATCTCCAATTCATGAGGATAAGAGAGATACCTTGATGGGAGAGTGACAACCTTCATCCCATAATGATGTGCTTGCTCTTTCCTCTCTTCTTCCATCAGGGAATGGATATTGGATGAGAAGAAATACATCTTGAATTGAGTACAGTAGTTCCTATGTTCCCTTGCTCTGGCTATTACCTCAGTTATATGAAGATATTCTATAACAAAAGTAAAATATCAGTAGATACTACTGTTGTTGGGTATTTGAACCATTACTAGTTAAGTACTACAGTATTTCTTAGGCTACATCTATTATTACATGGCCTGGCAGCCAGAAGTGCTGGTGGTAGCCAGCAACCTCTATATCCAAGCTGTCTCGGCATATATACACTTGGGGACCTCTGGGGCACGCAGATGGAGCCATTACAGTAGCTCTGCCACCAGAGTGCAAAGTGTACCCTGGGAAGGTATCAGAGGCTAAGTGAACTGTAGCAGTCATCCACATGCACCTTCACTTCTGCTGCTTCCCATCAAAGAGCTGGAGTACCTACCAGCAGAAAGGAGGGTCCTGCCATCACAGAGGGGCTTTGAAAGTACTTGCATTCAAACTTTTCCTGGAAAAAACATTAGTATGGACTAGGCCTTATTTTTATAGGTGTAATATTCTTCTTCTCTTCATTGAAGAATAGATTAGGCCAGTGGTGCTCAATCTCTGGCCCCCACATGGGACTCTCCACAGGTCCAGAAATGTGGTGGCAGTGGAGTGGTTGCAATTAACACCCTCCCATTCACCAGGCCTTGCATGCCACAGATAGCCACCCACAGACTGATCTCACACCACCCATTGGGTCAAAAGGCTGGGCACCACTGAATTAAAGCCATGCCCCTTTGAGACAATTGTACTTGAAAGTATTTTCCAGGAATTTAGATACACCACTGAATACTTGCACTTTAAAAGTTATAATGCGGTAATGGCTTTAATGAGTTTCATTCAATTAACCTGAGGCATTTAGCTATAGCGCCTGTTGATCTGACTTGCTTCAGGGCTGCTAGCAGCCAGCAGATGATAGGCTGCCGAACGTGAACCGTTTTACGAAGCTCAGGCTGCTGGCTCCTTAGCTATGATACTCAGCCTCTCTGCCAGTATTGCACACAATTTGAATAAGTACTTTAAATAACGCACCCTCACAAAGCCTTCACATGCATCATCTGTGATGGCAAAAAAGGCAGAATACAACATCAGGAAGAAACCATAGCATGAAGAATGCCTTTTAGGACAGTGTTTCAAAGGATGAGCACTGTAGCTCTAACGCGTAAAGCTTATCTCTGACATGAACATCAGAGCTTTTGTTTCCATTTATGCTACTGCCAACAGCACCACCAAAAAGTCTGTTACATCCTGGTGTTTCTTTTCTTCTTGCTCTTCTGTATGGGAGGCCCAGCAACAAGCCATTTCTCATTCCCCTCCTATTCTGGGAAGGTGGCGTGGAACAAAAGTATATCAATTAGAGGTATCTATAATCAAGTACAGAAACTAGAATAAGGATGACTCTACAGAGATTATAGTCTCTGTAGATTATCATAAGTAATTATTGATACGTTTGCAAATGTAACTATATCATGCCTTAAATTCACTGCGACAGCAATGCCACTTCACTTCACCAAAGGAACAGGGCGAGAATTGGTTTCTCTCAATTTACTGTGATAGCCCAAGTCAGTCTTTGTATCCCTGTATCCAGTTTTGCCATCTGTAAAATAAGGGATAGCTGCACACCTTTGAAAAACTCTTTGGAATGAGTGCTGTTGCTTTAATTCATGGATAATGAGATTTATTCTTAAAATAATGGCTTAAAACCCATTTAGTTTTCAAATACTTTTAAGATAATTTTTTGTGCAACTGAACCCACACTTCACAGCACAATATATACAAGAGTTTCCAGTCACTTCTGTTTTGTAACAGCTTTTCAGAAAAACTTTGATTCCAGAATTTCACAATGAAACATTTTAAAAAGAGTTTATTCCTTTTTTGTTTTTTGGTTATTCCCAAGCCTATGTTTAGTTAGCTGCGTATGTTCTGTAGTGGAAACAAGTGATTAAATATTTTCCAATATATTTGGACAGTTTCAAGAGCACTCTGGAATCTGCTTATTCACTAGGAAAGAGTTTAAATTGTAGTCTACCTTCTCCCCCTTGCAACTCTACTTTATACAATAAAAGGTGGGCACAGTTCAAAAGCACTTCGCCCCAACCCTCTGAATGGGGCTCCTTAAATAAAACAACGTGGATCCAAATCAGCCTTAGTTGCAGTTTTTCAGAAATAAAATTTACAGATAAGATACTGAAAAGAAGTTCACTCCAGCAGTTTTGTTTCTCTTATCTCTTTGCTTTCACAGAGTGTTTTTCATCCAGCAAGAGCTTCAGGCACCTTTATAAGCTGTAGCCCTTCCCAAAAGTACTCTCCATTTATTTTTAAATACCTATAAGTTGTGCCTGCAATATTGCACTGGCAAGAAAGTAGTTAACTCAAAAGTACTAGCAGATAAGTGTTTATGCAAATTGTCAGATTACAGCCTCAAATGTCAACTACGCTGAACCTCTTTAAGTAGTCAGGCTTTAAATAAATCCAGCAACACAGCAAACCAGCCATCACTGCTTTACATAGAAGACAGCTTAGAAAATAACATATTGAATAATTTTGGAGAAGCAAATACAGTATGATGACCACAGGAAGACCAACCCACGATGCCCAAAGATGAAGTTATTGGAGGAGAAAGAATACAAAAGGAGTTTTTCAAAACAGCAAGTGGGCAGTTGGCATCAGCCCCCAACCTCCAAGGTTGCTGACATCGGACAGTCATGTGAAGAACCTCAAGGTGGCCTTTATGTACCAGCCAGATGGACTGCTCGCCTTGTGTATATTCTGGGCACAGGGGAATTTGGGTAATGTATGCTGTAATCATGTTGCTTGCTTTGCCTGCATTACTTTTATTCCCTATCAATAAAATTTGCCTATTATCAATCGGAGGAACTGCGGTCGATCTGAAGCTTGTGCTTGCCTGGAGCAAAGTATCAGGTCTGGGCTGTGAATCCAGTGCCAACAGTGGGATGGGTACAGCTTCTAGCTGGTGGGGAACTGTGCTGAAGCCAGGCAGCTGACATTGAACCAGTTTGGTTGTTCCAGCCTGTATCTTATTAAAGGTTGCCAACCACTGTATTTCATAGTTCTTAGTACTGATATAAACAGCTTGACAAAGTGCAGTACTTATCTGAGGTGGTAAGGATGGGTAATTGTACTTGATAGCTTGAAATTTTGAAATGCTTCCATTCTGCACTGGAACCAAAGCAAACTTTTGACTGTTTTCATGAAGTGGGATTGTGTCCAAAAGGTCAGGTTCCATCTTGACCTTTGGAACTTGCCAAAAGTCCACCCTGGATCTCAACCCATACTGTCAAAAACTATCAAAACAGTTCCATGTCACTGACGTGTTTTGGCTTCAATGACAGCATTTTGACAAAAACACTTCTGCCAGATGTATTCCAACCATTTTCAGATTTCAACCAAAGATCAGTTTTTCCATTAGATGAGCCACTTTGGCACCCATTCCTGTTGTTCAATGTTAGCTACAAATTTAGGCTGCCGCAAAGTGCTTGAGCATGCTTCTCGTATGAGCCATTTCTTTTAAAAAATTGCCAACCTATTTCAGTAATAGCACTGCTGAAAGACTGGCACGATGGTTTGAAAAATGTGATTTATGCACACAGCTATTGTGTGGCTGGAGAAGCCAAGGCATGCAAATTGATTGCTGGACTCTAACAAAAGATAAGTGTAAACAAGTTCAGACTAGTATAGAAACCGTTAGAATTCCACCATGTTGGATTTTGCAAGTTGATTCATAGTTCCTTTGAGTCCTCCAGAGAAAACTACAGTTGCAAACAGGGTGTTAGAAAACATTATCAGAAGAGTGACACAAAGCTGCAGATATGGTTCCAACTCTCTCTCCCCACTGCCTGTGGGTTAAGGAAGAATACATTTCTGAATAGTAAAGGACATGGGTCACACTTGCCTAATTTCTGACAGCTCTTCAAAGATGCATGGATAAGATGAAATGAAGTCTTCATATTTTCTCAAGCAGGAAACAACTTTGACCATCTGAAACCTGAGATCCTACTCCTGCCTTTGTCTAAGGTAATTTGCATCACCACAGCCTCACAGGAGAGCTGAGACTACTTACCAGCTAAGAACTGTTGCCCAGAGGATGTTTCCATCTATTGACTCCTCCGTGAAATCCTATGAAATATGAACTTTCATTTCTACCCAGGAGAACTTTTACAATCTTTTCTCTGATGCCTGATGATGAAGGGTGTTTGTGCTTGAAAGCTTGCAATTAAAGATTTTTTTTTTGCAAAAATCTTATTGGTCTAATAAAAAATATCACCTCTGTCCACAAGCCCCGATGGCTTTGGACAAGGTGAAGCTCTTCCAAGCCATATCGTAACAGACTACAATGTTACAGCAGATGCTTTGTTTAGAACATGGGATATATCAAGCTCACCTAGCTCCATGGGGACTGAACCCAGTTTACAGGACAAGTGGCATCAGGGATCCACAGGATTCAGCATTTACCTCCCACTACTAACACTCCCTCCCCCACAGTGGAGCTCTGTATTCTGCATTTGGCAGGTCTCCCTGTGGCCCCTCTTCAGCCTCCCCCACAAATTCTCAGCTCCTCTAGGAGTCCTGCAGGCCAGATTATACAGCTCCACAGTCCAGACCTAGTGTATGGGTCATACTTTTGACACTCCTGGTCACAAGCAAAGACAAGGAGAAAGCAACATGGGCCTCACTGAGAAACAAATTCAAGCTCCACACACCTACCTTAGAGGTGATCCTTAGAGCTCAAGTTTTCTACAGAATAAAAAAAAAAAAAGCCTTGAACTTCCAGCATTTCTTCCAATTTTAGGTGGAATCTTGCAAGATGTCAGAAGCTAGAAGAGTTTTCCTGCTCCACATTTAGAGGAAATCCCTACAACTTTCTTTGTAAGCATTTGCCAGTCATTACTTTGCAGCAGTATGAGATTACCAGTGGTGTGGGACAGCAATTCAGACACTGAGTGAAATGGGTCACTGGCTTTATCTGTTTAAAAATTCAGTGACCTAAAAGCAATCCTGGAAAGAAAGAATAGTCCTAACGTTGTTTTACAAGAAAATCAGCTCTAAATGTTCTTAGTTAATCTAATAGTCAGCATAACTAAAACAGAAACGCCTAACAAGCTTTGTTTACCAAGAGGTGGTCTCTTTTCACATATCCTTTAACCAATTTTCAAGAAGGCCACCTAAAATTACTAAATGGTCTCAAACTATGATTAGAAGTTACTCAGGAGAAGAGGAATCTATATGCATATCAACAAGGTTTAGTACTAGTTTTACATACACCTTGGCAGACTGGACCATCTCCAATTGTGATCAGCTACAGTGTATCCCTGTGGAGAGGCCAAATCCTCACACGTGGGATTTAACAGGAGGTGGTATAAAGGCTAATAAGATTATAGCCCAATTCAAGGACTTCTTCATGAAATCTGGATCTACCTTTCCAACAAGTCACTCTTCGCTTCATGAGGACAAATGGGGAAGCTTGCGGTATGCAGGAAGTTTAAAAATAGCTATCCCTAAACTTTGGAACTTTTTAAGGGAGGACAAACCAGAAGGGGAATCTTACCAGACTTCCCCCACAAAAATAAAAATCTCAAGCCACTTTCCCTTACAGAGTTCATAGATTCAAATCATCCTTCAATTTGCCATATAAACACATAGAAATATAGTCCAACTCACAAAAAGGTTAGAGTACATTGATTTTAGCAGGTGTGATTACAGTGAGCCAGAACCTTAATGGAGAAATGTTTAAGTTGACAGATGGAAGAGTAGCTGTAACAGAATACTGTACAGACAAAATGGGAGAATCCATTAAATGGAAAAGCAAATAACATACTTACCTTACAACAACATGTCTATGTCTTGCAGAGAAAATCCAAACAATTCATAAGACTCCTCAAGTGTGAAACTCCAAACAGTATGCCTCAAAACAAGCACAGAGGTCAAGCAACTTTAAAGAAAGGAAGACTGTGAGAACCAGAAACAGTCCTCAGATTACTTGGAGATCCTTAGTCATAAGGTGCATTTTAAGGAAAGAATACTGAGTGTATTACATTCAATGGCAGCTCTTATACACAATTCTTGGCATAATTGTATCCAATATTTTTTACTTTGAAACAGAAATTTTAATGCAGAGCTTTCTATTTTTAGTGATTTTCTGAGACACGTTGATCTACTCTATTCCTTCATTGCTACCCGAAGGAGAAGTTGGTACTGCACAAAATGCAGAGGCAATTACTCAGGTCTGTTCTGAGCCTCTGACATGTACATTACTCAGACTAATAAGGTTAAAGCCAGAACTCTGTTTCACTGATGCATGTAGAATAACTGAATACTCAATTTTATTAATCCATGATAGATTGTGTCAGCTGTGCTAACACACAATTTGTTTCTTCATCAATTAACACTGCACAAGTATTTAAAAAAATGGAAGTTTATTTTTCTTTCCATGGCTCAAATAGCAAATAAAAAGAATTGGGTAAGGCATCAGCCATGACAAGTTCCCTGTGTCCAGTGGCTTCATAACACCTCAGTTCCCATATACAGTTCTCAAAATAAAGTCACAATGTTAGTGGTTAGACTCCCTGGTTAACCAGACTGAAAGTGAGCACACAGGAAGATGAAGACTGGCTTACTTGGCTGTAGTTACATGAGTAACTTTAATTCTGCACATGGTAGTCTACTAAATGTACATACAAAATTCCTTATTGATAAATATTTAAACATGACAAATGTTATTTCTGAAGAGTTGAGTCCCTAAAATGTCTATTATTAGTTAGCATGTAAATTACATATTTGTTTCCTAGTTTGCTTGAACACATTTTGAACTGTCAGTTATAGGTTTACACATGTATAAAAAAAAGTAATATAGTTTGTGGAATTGAGCTAGCCTTCCCTACTCCAAAATAAGTCCAAAACCTCCAAAGATTCTGGCATATTTTTAGTTAAGATGCAGCATACTAACAGTGTGCTAGTATTCTTTCCACTCTGAAGCAGCTGAGGCAGTACATTTCATTTGGGATTTTTAGATGCACATAGTAAATATTTCCGAACTGCAAAGCATGTTTGATATCAACATTAAACTAGAAAAAGTAGCTACAATGTTCCCCATTATCAACACAAACTAGACTAAACAGTACAAAACCTACAAGTAGCTTCAGCATAACACACCATGTTCCCATAGTTTAGTATTAGGAGCACAAAGGAAGAAATTAACTGATGACACCAGATTTCCCAGACCACACCTTAATGCAAAACACATTAGTGCTACGGAACGAGCTCCACTTTGCTCAAGTCCAGGGGCTTTTAACACCTACAGACATTGACTATTTGCAAATGGGTAGTTTCAAGGCATCAGCACAATAAGAGGTAAATGCCCATTTTGGGCTTACCTGTGCCATACCACTTATGGACTTCAACTTAAATCTATTCTGACCCTTCAAATTTAAGATACCATATCATTTATTAACTTACAGGTGACAAAATGTGCTCTGGATTACTCAGAGGACCAGAGTATGGCACACATTTTAAAAGCAGACACTGCTAGTTGACAGCTAGTTAGCGAGATTGTTCAGATAACTGCACTTCACACTAGAGCACACTCTCCTACTGATGCACAGGGACACTGTCTCCATGCAACAAGTTGAAAATATACCCTTGACTATGTAACCTGCTATTTCTATGTGGGTTTTTTTTTTTAAATTAAGGCATATTTAAATGTTTCCATATACAAGATTATACCACTTTAAGTTAGATCATGTAATGCAGATCCATGTATAAATGACTCCCAGTATAAGTTATGCAAATATACCACTCTTTTATAGTCTGCTTATCTCCACAGCAAGAAAACTCCATACCAGTTAGTTAGGTATCATGTTTACAACTGTAATTTTCAAGGCAGTAGAAGACAAGATGAAGTGACAATTCTTAATGATATAAAATTTATGCTTTACAAGAAATCAGAAAGTACTACTTCTTTCTGTTTACAGTTAAGACTGCCTATGAAACACTACATTCAGAAGAAATGTGATCATGTAGGCAATTATGAAATGGGTTGACCTCTGCTTCTCTGGAAGCCACATAAATTTTTCAGTGAATTTGACTTTCAGTGCAGTTCCAATTCATGCTTTTAGTGATACATTACAATTTCCAACATGTTAGGATAATTTCAGTCATTTGAGCCTTCAATGGCATGCTTATAAATTATGGGTTTGGTATTTTTTTAGTATGGTCAAGGTAGGAAAGGAATTTGGGATTTTTAATTATAAAATGCAGCATCTTTCTCTGATCCTCTTAGCTAGGCTTTTCCTTTTTTTCTTCCCATTCTTCTCTTTGCTGTCTTCCATCTTTCTGGCTCTTATTTCTCTCATCAAGTCGAAAAATACCTAAAATTATAAAAACAAATGGTAACACACATGTATCATTGATACTTTTATGCTGAGTGAACATAAATGATGATATTTAATGCACCTTGTTTGAATGAGAAAGTCCCAATACAGGTTCCCCTTGCTTTATGCTGTACATGCATTCTTGGATAATGGCACATAAGTAGAATTTGCATAAAGGGAACCCACTTTACAAAGTAACAGATAGGGATACATTCCAAGACCTCGACTATACTGACCCTCAGACCCATTTCTACCACTTTTACAAGACAGTTTTGGTACTCAACAACAGCAGACAGGCAGTTGCTGCTGCACGCTGCGCTTTGCACCCAGCTGCAGCTGCCCTGGGAGTGACGCCACTGGGTTGCACTGTGCCCCCTGCCCACCCGTTGGCGGGACGCATGTGGTGTCACATCACTCCCAGGGCAGCTGTAGCTCTAGAAGCATGGGCACCAGCTGCCCTGAGCAGCAGGCTTCCACCACACCGACCAAGTGAATTTACCTTGCATATAACTAATGTTTGGTATAAAAAGGGTCACTGCATAAAAGTGAATTTGCACATAAAGCAAGGGAAACCTGTACCTACAGAAGGTCAGGGTGAAAGGACAACTAACCTTCAGTAATCTTACTCCGTCTACTAGGTTTCCAAGGACATGCACTTTTTTCAATGTCTGGTTGGTTCACCCCTTCCTCTGACACTGAGCCCCATCCATTCCCAAGATCACAGATTCATAGAAAAGTAGCTTTGGAAGGGACCTCAGAAGGTCATCCAGTCCAATCCTCAGGAATAGGAATTTTAGGAATAGTCTGGTCTAATCTACTCCTAAAGCTACACAATCAACCCTGTCAAGACCCCCCTACTACAGAGCAAACAATCCATACCAGCGTGACCATGGGATAAAATTCCTTCTTCATTCCAAATGTGCTAATTGTTCTGACCCTGAGTGAAAGGGAAAGATTCTCTAACTAGGAACCTCCAAGCACTGTCAGATCCTTTAAAAATCCTGAGCCTTGGGTGTAGCCAACATCTAATATTTCTGACAAAGGCCAACCGCCCCCTCCCCCCATGCATAGCAACAGGTGGGAAAAAAAATTCCTTCTCAGCCGTCTGTGGCAACCAGCAAACGTCAGAAGTGTAGGAAAAAAACAGACACCCTCCCATGCTGCTCTACAACCTACGGACACCAAATGTAACTCTACACATCACACCCTCTAATGGCAGAGTCAGAGTTGTCCTTTCTGTACCCCCTCCATAAACTTATCTCAACTCCTTTAATGTTTTTTCATAACTAAACTAGTTACAGCTCTTCTTTCATCTCATGCTGTCAAGCCTGGTTCTCTCCAATATCCAGCTGCTCTAGGCAGCACAGCTCTTCTTGTGATCTCCCAGCAATGTGCATGTGGAAGGGCTCCCAGGCTTCCAACTGCTGCTCTTTATAACACACTCTAGGCATAGCTACTCCCTAAACCATTTGCTGACCCATGCTTATCCATCCTCTTTGAAAGTCACCAACGAAGGACATTCCACAACTTCCCTAAGCAGTCTATTCCACTGCATCATTGTTCTAATAGTGAAGATTTTTCCCCCTGCTATTTAATCTAAATCTACTTTGCTGCAACTTCAAGCCACTGGTATGTCATGTTTTCTGCAGCAGCACCATATTTGGGATCAGGAAGCTTGTTTTAAGGCCTTCCAAAATGCTACAAGACTAAATGCCATGCCTCTATCGAGTCTTTAAAACTTACTTCTATTTATTACAGGAAAATATAGCTTAAATCATAGCATAGTTGATGACTGCAACTTTAATAGGTTAACAGAAGCAGACAGAACTATCTCGTTCCTGAAGTCTCATTTTTACTAGATCAGGTACACACTAAGATACTTTATTCTGTTTTCCAGATTCCATTCATGATTCGCGTCTAAAAACTAGGGGTAAACCAATAAAGACTGTCTTGGCTGATAGCAATAGCTGATTATTCACCAGACATATTGGCCAATACTGATCCAATAACCAATTTACAGGACCACAGCTGGGCAGTGTGGTGAGCAGTGCCCTGCAGGTAAGTCTGTGGAGGGGACAGGGCATGGGGGAGGAAAGGGGTGTGGGAGGAAAGGGGGCAGACTGAGGCCCCCACAGTGAAGGAGAGAGTAGTGCAGGGGCAGAGGGCAATGCCCAGCCAGGGCAGTGAATGGGACCCCAGGGCTGCAGCAGGGAGTGGGACAGATCTGTGGGCAGCATATTCAGGGGATCAGAGTCCTGGCGCTTAAAAATGGTGGTGGGGCTGCTTGAACTAAAGCTCAGCCACCATTTTTAAGTATGGGGATGCTTTTAGGAGCATGGCGAGGGTGGAGGCGGGCTGCCTGTCATGGGCTTTCTGCCCTGCTGCCTCTGGAGCTGCATGCTGGCCATGTCTCCCCTGCCTGTCCGGCAGTGGAAGGCACAAGTCACCAGCACCACTGCTGCCAGACAGGCAGGGGATGCACAACCAAAATGCAGCTCGCAGGGCACAGGCAGCAGGGCAGAGAAGGCTAAGCTCACAGTGGGCAGCCCACCTCCACCCAACACACATGCCCCCCCATGCCTCCCCCAGGGGTGTGTGCAGCAGCAGTGAGCCGCCCTCACTCTCCACCGCTGTGGCTCTCCCATTCCCTGCCCTGGCTGGGCAGCACCCGTCCAGAAGGCATATTATATTTATTGGTGACTATCAGCTACGCCAGCCAAAAAAAGCTGATAGCTTATAATGTTAATTTTCCTTTTATCAGTGTCAATCTGATACTGTATCAATATATTGGTGCACCTCTACTAAAAACACAAGCAAAGAGACTGGGAAAACCCGGCACAGTTCCTGGAAATCAGTTATTTGCAGTGTCCAGTCTGAAAACTGGACTTATTTCTGAAGTGGTGACTCAGATTTTTCCAAGACTATGTAAACAAACCTTCAAAATAGCTATTAGCAAAAGTTACAGCTGCAGGCATTTTGAAAAGGGAAGGAAAAATTAGGAAGTGGGAAAATCCTACTCATCTGATAATGCAATTTAAGATCCTGCTGTCAATTCAGACTTTTAGATGAAACTCTGCGCCAACCTGTATTTGTGCTTTGCACTATTTTTATTCATTCCAAAGTATTCCAACCCGTTGGACTCCTACATGCTTAAATATAAAACACTCACCTTCAGGAATTTATTTTAGTGGATGTATTTAAGCCAATTCTATGAGATTTCCTTTCTGGAAAGGGAATTGTCATATAGACATCCACACTTCCTAGGAGTTTACACAGTATATTGTTTGAAACATGTTGTGGTGGCCTCTTCTGAACTTTAGAACAGTAGCTTTCTTTTTTCTGTAAAAAGAACATGTTGCCACAGACCAATCACAGAACAATTAAAACTGTGTTACTTTCACTCCACTTATTTTGGGGGAAAAGTGGCATATTTGTATGAACTTTTCATCTTCAAAAGTCCTTTTGATTTCTAAATGGATTGTTGTCTGCTTGTATTCTAAACCATCCAGAGTGTAGGGCGTCATCCTTCTTCCCTTACTTAAGCAGCAATATAGTCTCTAGCTGCCTAGACTATTTAGCCTACTTGGATGCTGTCCAATTCTTCTCCTAAGAATTGAACTTTTTTTCTGAAATAGGTTTAGAAACAGACCATGTTGAGCTGAGCTGTTTACTATTTTTCTAATAAGCTGGAAATTTAATTTATTTATTTAGATCAACAACTTCAATTCATATAGTACAGACAGAATAGTTTCAGATGTTTTAAAGAACATTTAAGAGAGACTTCCTGGCACTTGTATAACTTTGTCGATTCACCTCAACTCTGGCCTGAAGATCTCAGGAGTTGTATAGACTGAATTAACCATGAGATAGATTGCTGATTTGCTTCTCCTTTTACTCTTCAACTCCATGGGATTAAAATAGTTTTGTAGCAGCCATAACACCAGTAGCTCGGAAAACCTGGGGGCTAAATCAATGGGTAAGAACCAAAACTTGAATATTGAGAGATGGCTGAGGTAATTTAGTTGTGTAAAATTTTCCAGTTATAGAAGCTATTTTTAACATTTCTCACAGAATGACTGCTCCCTCTCTGACCTGAGTATCTGCATACTCAAGGGCAATTTACCTAACACCTTTAAAAGATGACACCGGGAACAAAAAATAAGATGGCTGAACACTAAGAACCAAGGTCTAAACATTGATACTGGGTTCATGGCAGATTGTTTTATCCACAGAAAGGTGAGAAGAAAGATGAGAATGACCCCTGCCCCTTTTGATAGGGCTTGATCTCTAAGTAATTAGCTTCTTCTCCTCTGCTAATTGTTTGCTACCTCTGGGAATTCCTCTCCCCCCTCTTAAGGTTTTTTTTTTTTATATACATATATATACACACACACACTGTAACCATGTTGGCTTTCACTGCTCAGACCTGATGAAGAATGTCTTGCATCTGAAAGCTTGTCTAACTCCATCCCAACTATGTACTTAGTTCAAGAAAAGATAGCACCCTAAGGGCTGTGCTACAGATTTAAATTAAAGCTCAATAGAAACCAGCTATAGAGCTGCTGCACATTTTCAAGCACTAACTTTATTGCTGGTTGGCTATAGCTGAATAGTCATTTTTATCATGTGATAATTACTTTGTACTTGTGGCTAGTCTTACTTTGCTCATGTGGCCGGTCTAAATGTATTGCACAATAACCAGTTCATGGCATAATTATGTAATATACAACAGGGGCCTAATAAACCCTTGCCTCCAGCATATTTTAATGTGATATTTTCCTCCTGTTAAAATGCGGGGAAGCAAGCTAAACTTGACTAAGGCATGAACAGATGTTGCCCTTGTCATGGGAGAAAATGTCTTCCAGCAGGACAAAGTGCAAGCTTTCAGACATCCTTGTTGCTGGACCAATCCCCAAAAAGAGTTACAGAATAAGTCCTTCAGGACAAAGCATTAGTACCATCATGACTGATGTCTGGAACAGTTGTCCCACAATATTCCTGCAAGGCTGGCAAGTCAATCAGTCCTCAAGGTATCCCCCAATGTACTACTGAAACTCCAATCCTGGCCTCTCTTGAACTCCATCTAGCAACAGGGATATCAGGCTTCAGGTGGCCACCTCCATCTATTAACCATCTTGCATGGCAACTTGCCAGATGTCTTTTGCTCACCACTCACCCAAAACCAGTATTGGAGCCTACATGCACTGAACACCATCAACAATCAGGAGCCTCCAGGACTCATCAGACCCATCCAGAACCTCTATACCTGCACACATCCACCCATCTTCTCTCTTCACTATGGCCTCTCAGTCTGACAAGCCCAGTGCCCTGAAAAAAGTGTGACATTAACTGGAGACCAGGAAGCGGGTAATGGATTTCATCACCCTCTGGGGTGATAATGACAAGCTTTGCTGCATTAAAATGAACTACCCAGGCACTGACCCATTAGCACTGGAGCAAAACATTATTGTCTGAAATGACTGCAGAACTAGCTGTTACAAATACAACATAAAGGTAGACAAGAACTGGCAGGTTTAGGTATCCCAAGGAAGTCCAGCTCCCAGTTTACATCTGATAATAGGGTAAAAAGGTATCACCCCATAGGCAACTCATTGATAGAAGTGGCCACAGTGCATTTCAGGAAGAGGTGGTCTACCTGTGTCAGAGAAGTCATGCTGCCAATTTGGCAAGTTGTGCATGTAGCCACCATAGTGGAATTCAAGATGGCTAAAATTAATTCATGTTTTGGTCAATATTTCAGCCCCCACTTGGGTTACAAACTAATACCAATGACAAAACCAACACTGTTGGAACTGAAGCGATTGATCATAACACATCCACTGTGGTATAGAATCACAATCAGAATAGGAAGGGACCTCAGGAGGTCATCTAGTCCAACCCGCTGCTCAAAGCAGGACCGTCTCCAATTAGATCATTCTAGCTGGGTCTTAAAAACCTCCAAGGATGGAGAGTCCACAACCTGTCTGGGTAACCTGTTCCAGTGCTTCCCTACCCTCCTAGTGAGAGAGTTTTTCCTAATATCTAGCTAATGTGTCAGGATTTGATTTACCTACAATCAGGGGACAAAAAGCTCAATTCCAAAACATGTTGGATTGAGGCTTGCTGATACATCACACAACTAGATCTAAGAAGCTGGTACAAAGTCTCCATCCATGCTGCTGAATACAGCATACCATATGACAGTGCTGAGGACAGGGAAAAGAGACCCCCTCCCCTACCCTGTGGCCAGCGCCCCGCGCTGCAGCCGCTCACAGCCTGCGTGGGACTGCCTGTGCCTGCTCAGGACAGCACCACACGGGTTGCGAGCGCCTGAAGCAGGGAGCACTGGCCATGGGGTGGGGGAGGGGCTGCTTTTCCCCGCACTCAGCACCAGCTCATTCCCTACAAGCAAGGCGGGGTTGGGGCTGCGCGCTGCCCCCCCGCCTGTACCACAGGGCTGAGGGGGGAACTGGGAGCAAGCGTAGGGCCCACACCGGTGTCCCAGGGCCAGCACCGGCGGGGCCCAGAACAGGGCGGCAGGAGTACAGGGTCCTGGCTGGCAAGGGCTCCATGGAGCCGGGCCAGCTCCCCCCTCTCCCTGCTGGTGCAGCCCAGCCTGACTCCACAGACCCCTGCCAGCCTGCACCCTGCTCTGGGCCCCACCAGCGCTGGCCCCGGGACATTGGTCCCAAGACATTGGGACACTGGTCCCAAGATGGGGACCAGGGGGCAGGGCACCTGTCAGGGGGCAGGGCTCCCCATGCGGCCCTCAACAGCTTGCCAAAACTGGGTAAGTGGCCCTCCGCCCAAAATAATTGCCCACCCCTGTGCTAATGTGTTAGCCATCTTGGAATCCCAATATGGCTACCACAACAGAAATGTTATGATCAATCTCCTCAGCTCATACAATGTTGCTTTTGTCATTCTAACCCTTGTGGGGGCTGAAACATTGACAAAATGTGAATTCATGGCAGTCATCTTGGATTCCAATATGGTGGCTACATGTACTCCTTGCCAGATTGGCAATATGATTTTGTGTTAGCCATCTTGGAATCCCAATATGGCTACCACAACAGAAATGTTATGATCAATCTCCTCAGCTCATACAATGTTGCTTTTGTCATTCTAACCCTTGTGGGGGCTGAAACATTGACAAAATGTGAATTCATGGCAGTCATCTTGGATTCCAATATGGTGGCTACATGTACTCCTTGCCAGATTGGCAATATGATTTTTCTGACATGGGTAGACCACCTCTACCTGCTTGAAATGCACTGCACTTGCTTGTGGCAATGAGTTGCCTAAGACAACAAAATCTAGAGACCTTTTCAGTTAATCTATACCCTACTAATGATAACTCAACTCAGACATGAGCATTTCTGCTGTGGAGGTTTTATACCTGTGTGGCCAGGTCTATATGTAGGTCACAAAGGCTGGCACATTAGAACTATGTAAATCTCCCCTCGCCCATGTAATATATTACTTTGCATAAGAATTCCCAAAGAGTTCTAACTTTGATGTTTATAACCTTTAACATTTACTTAATACTTGGGTAAGAGTCAGCCACTATCTCACCACTTTTCCCATGAAAACATGGGCTTCACCTTTAATCTTTTCTTGCCCATTTTCAACCCAAACTGCTCTCTGTATTTATTTGACCTCCTGGTGCATGCTCCAGCTTTGCGCAGTACATCCATTTTTATTTCAGCTAGACAACTCCTACGCAGCCTAGAGAAGATTCCAGTCCTCATTAGTAAAACCATTAACTGTAGGAATAAAAGACCAGCTAAGACTAATCCCTCCCCAGAAGTTATAAATTTCCTGGCCATGTGTAAAAATATAAGTTATAAAACAGAATCAGAAGTCTCCATGAGATTAGTTTGTCCCAAGAGATAGTAACAGATTCAGGGACTCGCATGAACAACCTTTGCTACCTATGTCATAGAATTCATAGATTTCATAGACATTAGGGCTGGAAGGGACCTTGGAAGATCATCGAGTCCAGCCCCTTGCCCCAGGGGCAGGAAGTCAGTTAGGGTCAAAGGATCCTAGCAAGATAGATATCCAAATATTTCTTAGAGGAGTCCAGAGCAGGTGCTTGCACCACCTCTGGAGGCAGTCTATTCCAGGCCTTGGGGGCTTGGACTGTAAAGAAGTTTTTCCTTATGTCCAGCCTAAAACAGTCTTGGAGGAGTTTGGGACTGTTTGACCTTGTCATCTCTTGGGGCACTCTGGTGAACAGGCATTCACCCAGATTCTGATGTACACCCCTTATATACTTATAGGCAGCCATTAGGTCTCCCCTGAGCCTGCAGGGCTGTTAGGCTGTTAAAAACTTATATTTTATCTTCTCTACTCTCAATCTGAACAGACTACCAGCTCACTTTCAACCGGACAGCTATTGGATTTAATTGGAACTCAGCTACTCCAAATGGTCAAGAATGACCATCTAGAAGAAGGGAAGCCTGTACAGGGAAACTTTGTGCTCTACTGACACTGTTGAACCAACTCTAAGGTTAAAGAAGCAAAAAAGCCAGTGAACAGTCAGTCAGTCAGTCCAGAAATACTCACACAGTATTTAATTTGTTACTCATGAGCGTAATATACTTAAACAGGAAAGAGCAGGATTCATGAAACAGGAACTGAGAGCATTAAGTGAAAGTGATGCTTTTTTACATTTAAAAAAAAGTTAACAGTTACCTTGTCAACATTAGCCCGTGTTTTGGCAGAGGTTTCCACATAGTTAACATTCCATTGGTCAGCTCTGTTTTTTGCTTCCTCTACAGAAACTTGCCTTTTATCTTCCAAATCGGATTTGTTACCAACTAGCAGGAAGGGAACATTCTCATCCTCTTTTACTCTTAAAATCTGCTCCCTGGAGGAAGGAAGGAGCATTATTATTATTCAAAAAAAAATCTATGCATAGAGGGCATTCCTAGAAAACAAGCAAAAAGAGCCAGGTTGCATTTTTTTTACTGTGTTACAATGAAAACCCATTCATTCTTTCAAAACATTTAGATAAAAACTGAAAAAAATCCTTATCTTGACATGGTGCAAAATGAAAGTAAGAAAAGCAACTTATTTCCCAGTCAGTGGAGAATGATTCATTAAGGGTTTGTACAGAAATGATAAAAGCTGAACTGTTCGAGCCGAATTTTAAATTGGTAATTTATTCTACTGCAAGAGACATTAAGAGCATTTCACAGTTTCCTTCCTATTACTATTCATAAGTAAGTGCCTTATATTAGCCAGAAAGGTTGGTTTCATGTCTTTTCTTAATGCACAGCAATCACCATTTTTAAGCTTTGTAAAAGACCATAGATTAAAAAAAAAAACTAATGTAGCACACCTATGGCAAATATCTTCCTTTCAGGAGAGAATGTGAGAAGATAAAATAATTATTTTCGATTTCTATAAATGTCTCTCTGTTTCAGTTACAGGTATCTGGATGGATTCAAGTCACTCAACCATTGGCTTTGATGAACCAGATGCTTCCAGTGATGGAACTGCTAGGATGCATAGTTTGAAGTTTTACTTACAAAAGCTCATGTAGAACTCTTGAGTTGTAAGGGTCTGAAGGACCAAAGATTTCTTAAAAGGGGTTTTTCATTTAACTGACTTAAGTTGGAGGGTAGGCAAAACAGTTTTCCAGAGTAAGAAGGGGGTAGGTACTCTTTATCCAGGCCCAGAAAGTATCAGAGGGAGGCTCAAGAGTAAAATTTAGCATTCTGTGATTTCCCCCCCTACATGTACAGTGGAGAAACTGTCCTGCAAGACCACAGAACTTCTAGAATATTAGGTGGGGTTTGATATTTGAGATCTCCAATGTAACTTAATTTGTCTTTCTTCCAAAGAAAGGAAAAGTTTTTAGAATTGCACTAAATGTAGTTCCAGTTGTCTGAGATGCACTATATGGAAAATTCATCATTTGGCATGGGGAAGCTTCAAACAGCAGACAAAACCACCACTTTGGAAGCAGCATACATACATTGAGAAACCAGAGCTAACACAAGCTTTTAAAAGCAAGTGCACATATTTCAATAAGGCTTGTGAAATATAAATGTAACATTACAACTCCAGTGGAAAAGTCCAGCACTGTTAGCCCTACAGAGAACATTAAAACAATCTTCTATCATCTATAATCAGGGCAGTATAAGGAAGGAAGCAGGCCTGTTTCCTTAGTGGACTGGAGGCAGTGATAAAGTTAAAATCCACCAGTACAATATACTACAAATCTGGGTATTTACACTGCTTCAGAGAGTTGACCAGTCAGAGCACTGCCTAGTTGTCTAAGCAAGGTTTTCACAGAGTAATCATGTACTTGAGCTGTTTAAGGATTTACCCTACAAGAAACACACAGAGCTGTTTAAATCCTCCATCTGAAAACTGGTGATTTTAAACAAGTGATTTCTCATGGAGATGTCCCATCATGAACATTAAATTTAAAAATTAAGTCCCAACTGAATATCCATTTAGTCACTATAACTTCCCACTCCCTTTCCCCCCAACTAGTGGGAAAAAAAGCAAACTAAAACTGTCATGTATATGACATGACAAACCTAATACTCTCATGTATAACCCAATGATATGGAGCAGGTGGGAAAGAATCAGTAGTGTGACAACCACTTGTCTGCCGGAGCTCTGGGCTTTAGACCAGTCTGATGGAAACAAACTTTCATGTATTTCTGAGAGTTTTAGTGCTCTGGTCAGTAGCATACCCACAGCACTGAATAATCTGAGGGCATTTACACCACACATTAGTCGGATGCAGGCTATGTTTAAAAAAAAATGTCATCTCAGAATTAGTTTAAATACAAAAGCGTGAAGCCTTGAGATTTTTCCAATAGTCTACCTTGTCTTAGAAGTACACCAAAAAAGGATTTTGAAAAGTTTAGTTGGGTCTTAAGTTTCCTCTCTGCCACTAAAGGATTTTCCAATCCCTTAGAAACAGGCTAGATTCAGTTTTTTTCAGGTTCTGAAGGCTGTTTCAGCACATATTGCTACTGGTCACTTTAGCTGAATGTATTTGTCTTTTAAATCTCTGGAAGACAATATCCTTTGCAGTGTCAGGTACATGAACAAGATTTTTCCTGTCTTGGTATCTAAACTGTAAAGTAGGATTTCACCAGTTCTCTAGGGCAGATAACAATCTAAACCTCTAGCATAATCCATTTTAAAGAAGTATTCTAGCCTCCTTTGTACATCAAAAGAGCAAGAATGGGAAGGAATAATTTTGTCCCTTTAAAACATCTTTAATAAATCCTGAATTCTGATAATAGCTTGTCATGTGGCAACATCTCTAGGGTACTCCCCATTATTTTATGGGGAGTATGCCCTACCTATTTTTGGTATCATGGTATCTACCATAGGTAGGGTAATGGTATGAAGCAGTCTTCCTTTCTATGGCCTTACCGGACTGCACTAAAAAAAAATTGTGTTTTTTTTTTTTTTTTACATTAACGTAGCACCTTGAGATTCTGCTCATGGAACAGAACACCATTGTGCTAGGTCAGGAGTGGGCAAAGTACAGCCCGTGGACCAGATCTGGCCCAAAAAGGGATTCCAGCCAGCCCAAAATGGGCCCTCCGGCCCTGTCCAACCAAGGTGTGTGTGGCCGGTGATGCCACCCTGGGGCAGGGACGACATGGTAGTCAGAATCTGATTCCTGGCAGCCCCACAGTGGCAGCTCACTCAACTCAGCTGCCAATGCCAATTCACTCTGCATCCACTGTCGGGGCCGTTGGATGGAGTGGGCAGACAGGGTTTCCATGGAGACTGGCTCCAGACCCTCATGGGCAGAGTGTGCTCAGCCGGGTAAATGGGATGGGGCTGCAAGGCAGGTGGAGAACAGCATCTGGGAGCAGGATGGGTGGATGAAGGCCAGGATCACTGGGTGGTGACAGCATGGGGCCGGGGCCGCAATTTGCTCCCCACACATCCCTGCCCACTGAACCAGTGTCTGTCACAGGGACATACGGGGAGCAAATCACTGCGTTGCCCTGGGTCCTGGCCCTGTGCTGTCACTGTCCTGTAATCCCAGCCATCACCCACCCATCCCACTCCCGAATCGCGCTCCCACTTACCCACAGCCCCATACCATTTGCCTGGCTGAGTGCACCCTCTCCAGAATTGTCTGTATCAATTTCTGCACTTTGTGATCCACTGGCAAGCACCCTTAAAAGGTGGTAGGTTTGTGAAGTGTGCTATTTGCAAGAGTACCTCTTTGAGGATGGAATCCTCAAGTTAGACAGAGCCCAAAACATTTGTTGATAGACACCACATGAGGCTCTCCAGCATTCATTTTTCGTGCAGCAGCTGGTTTCATCTCTGTATTTATTCTAACATGAAGCAGTCCACATGCTATCACTGGCCTGTTTGCTCCTGTTCTCCTTCATAAGTTAATAAGGAAATAAGCAAGAGATGAACATTGGTACAACACAAAAATCATGGTAGAACAAACAGCAAATCAAGACTGCCCTGGGATAAATGTAACTTAGTACTTGCATAACGTGCAAGTGGGCAGCCTACAAGATTACTCAGTTTGACCCATGTGCATCAGCCCTTCTGAATCCTGACAAGAAGCAGTTCCATGATAGGCCCCATGTTACATTATCATTTTTGGTACTTAGGAGACCTGAAAAGACATGAAGAGCAGGTACAAATGACTGCAAAAGAATCTGTATAGCTATGCTCTAAGAAGTCCTCTAAGATGTCATGCTATTATCTAGGGTACAATCTATGCAACCTGTAAAGGCAGAGCATCATAGGGAACATCAAATGACTACAAGAAGTTATTTGTAGTTGTGAGAAGCATCTCAAGAAAACCTGTTTGGAGTCTATTGCAATTCAGTTAAATCAATAATTTTCCCTGCACGGTTACCTGAAATCTGCTGTAGCCGCAAAAGATTCCAGTTCTGTAATAGAGAAGACACAAAGAAATCCCTCTCCACTTCGGAAGTAGTTGTCTCTAATTGCAGCATAATCCTCTTGCCCTGCCGTATCCAATATATCTATTTGGACTTCTTCCCCATCCAGAACTACCTTTTTCCTGTAGCTGTCTGCTTTAGTAGGCTCGTAGTCTTCCACAAACTGTAAACAAAGCAATAGAATACTATAAAGACATACCAGCACAGCAAAATAAATGAGTGCCTAGGTAAGAGAAATGAACACATACATCTAAATTTGTATGTAGTTACAGGTTGAAATTAGTGTCTTCAATAGTCACAGTAGCTATGTACCCCATTTAATCAGGCCATGGTACTTCAATGTTACTTCTGACATTTACTTAAACCCACACCACGTCTGCTAGCAAAGATGCTCTTTATTACCCAGAAAGCTTGCAGGTTCTCACTTGCTGCTATCAGCCCAAAAATTCACCCAATTCAAGACTTCTTGCCTTAATTTCTCAGGTATTATAAATTATCAGTGATTATACCTGCAAACCAGATGTTGCTCTCTGCTCAATGACAAATAGGCAATCTGGCTTAAGTCTGTAATCTTGTAGTACAAGTGCGTCTAGAAGATTTTGAACAGATCGAAATATTGGTTTTACTCTAAGTGACTTGGCAGTTCCTATGACTACCTACCCAGTCAGTGCCTTTCATGATTATCTGACCTCGTACTTAATTAGAGAAATCTTTCCTATCTTTCTCCAAGAGTCTAAAACTTTAAAAAACAAGTATTTCAACTGGGTGCAAATTCATTTTGAACCCACCCTCCTTGTGAAAAAATGTTGTTTTGAGGGGTGGGGGGAAATGAGTTTTGGGTAAAATATCTGAAATTAAGCAGGGGGAAAAAATGCAACTCCATAAGAACCAAGTAGCACCCACTGACAGTTCAATCTTAACTCATGCAGTTAATATATCTCTATTTTGAGACTCAAATGTTAATATATTTCTAAATAATCCTGGAAATTAAACTGAAACAGTGGTAATAGGTTCTATCAGAACTCATTGCTAACTAATCAGAGATCTGGAAGAAAGACCCATTTTCACATCCATGAGTCTTAGGGTGAGCTTGCAAAGCCAAGAGACTCCTTAATGTTTTCTGTTCAGCATAATGGCCAGTTGTCATACCAAAAAATCTTTAGGAGAGACCAAGTCATAGTTTACTTAGAGCACTTCAGGTATTGATTTTATTGGCGTCTTTAAACTAAATACTACACAGACATTGACTTCAGTTAGGAAAAGGAGACAGGAACCTCCATTGTAAGAAGTTAGTTTCTTACCTCATCATACATGAACTGCAGCGTTAAAGCAGATTTTCCCACACCACCACTTCCCACCATGATGACTTTGTGCAAAGCCAAGGAATTCTGACCTTTGGGCTTATTTGCTGCCATCTTTGGATTGCAGGAATTTCACAGAAGTAAAATGAATATCTAGGGGGGAAATAAATTGCTTCAATTAGTCTTCATTGATTATTTGAAGAACCTGTCACCATTCTGTTACCCTCAGATATATGGCAAAGACCCTTCTTCCCCAGGAACAAGCCAAATGGTACCTCATTTCCAGGGATCATGGTTTTTTCCATTTAAAAATAGCAAATTCTCTGATGAAAATCCCAAAATCTCTGATTTAAAAACCCAAATTGAGCATTTTTCCAGGATTAAAATGAAATGTTACTATATATATAGGCATCACTTGAATACAATGTTTTATTGATCTACTTGCAATTTTACAGCAATTTGGAAACCTACCACTGCCTCAATCATTATAATACAATACATTCTAAATATTTATATATTTTGGCATTTGATTTTCATAGTTTCATAGTTTTAGGGTTGGAAGGGACCTAATAGATCTTCTAGCCCGACCCCCCGCCAGGGCGGGAGAACAACAAAAAACCCTAAAAACAAAAACGGGACTCAAATGAGTCCAGCCAGGTAGGCATCCAGCCTCTTCTTAAAGACCCCCAGGGTAGGGGCCAGCACCACCTCCCTTGGAAGTTGGTTCCAGCTCCTAGCCGCCCTAACTGTGAAGTTTGGGTTTGTTTTTTTTTTTAATCACAGAAAATTAGAGTTCCTCCCTGCCCGCTTCACTCACCATGATGCCGGTCCAGCTGCAGCTGTCCCCAGAGCTGCTTTGAGGCACTGAGTAGCCCTGATATGCCAGTGCCCTGCCCCTCACTCCCAACCCACAGCCCCCAGAGCCCTACCAGTGCCCCTCACTCCTGACCTGCAGCCCCTGCTAGCAGCAGCTCCCTCCCTACACCAGGACATGGGTCCAGGTGCACAGAGCTGCTGCTTTGTGGCTCTGAGCAGTACCAGCCCTTGCTGTTCTGTTCCCTGCAACTGTGCCCAGGCCCCAGTGATCCCCATGCCCTTCTGGGCTCAGGAACTGAGCTGCACAAGCCCCTTTCTTTCCAGGCTGGCCTCCCCCTGCACTGGCTGCTCTAAGGGCCAGGCGGGCTCCAAGTGGCCGCTTCTACACCTAGAGCGTTGCCCCCCCTCCCATCTCTCTCGCACACACTCCTGCTGCCACCCCCTGTCCATCACATACACACATAGACTCCGTTACCCCTCAATCCCCACCCCCTTTCATCATCCACCCCTGCTACCACCTTCCCTCCTCCCCCTGACCCATCAAGCCCCTCTCTTCCAGTGGTTCCTGGGACCAGGAGCCCCGCAGGCCAGAGCCATGTGCCCCGGTATCAGTGCAGGTGCAGAACTGAAGTGAGGCAGCTGCCCGTGTGGCCACAGCTCCTTCCAGCTTGTCTTGTCCTGTGTGGTGGCTTGGCACCCAGGGGTGGCCATGCTCCCCCAGGGCCAGGCAGGCTGGTGGGGCCCAGGCTGGGTGGCATGTAGACTGACCGCACTGCTCCTCTCCTCCCCTCCCCACCGCTCAGAGTGCCCCCACTTGCCACCTCCAGCACTAGCCCCGGCAGAGCTGCCAGCAGTCGCCAGAGCTGCAGGCTGGCAGGATGTGGCCCAACAGTGACGAGCAGCAGGGCAGCAGCTGTTGCTGTGGAAGATGGGCAATACTCACCTAGTGCCCTGGCCCAAGGCACCGCCCTGGCTGGGCAGCGCCCCCAGCCCCCAACCCTGCCCCAAGGACGCTCAGCCTGGTGGGCAGAGGTGCAGCACGCACTCTCTCCCTCCCACATCAAGTGTGCTTCCACCACTGCTCCAGCTGGGCAGTGCCCCCAGCCTAAGCCAAGCTGGGACAAGGAAGCATGGCCGGGGATGAGGCAGCCCACACCCACCGCGGCGTCGGCCCACAGA